AAGGCTTACTATAATACATCAACTACTTTTTTCTTATCATATATCATAAATATTAGGTTTTATAAAAATAATATACTTTTTTATAATATATATAGTGTATTTTGTATGTATTCTTTTTTATCTTATGAATTCACTTCCAAAAATTATATTAAATTTTATTTCACATTAATTGCGCACAAAAAATAAATAACTTTGTTATTGACATGAATATTAACGATTACTATGCCTATTTGTAAGTTTGCAAAAGCTGATCCATCTTGCATGTCAGTCTGAAAAAAATTACTAAAATGTATTTAGATAATTTTTTTTTTTTAAAAAAAAAAGAGAGAGAAAAATATGTGGACCTAATTTGAAACATGCAGTTCAAATTGAGTCATTTTTGTTTTTTTATTTTACTTATTCAAATTATATTTTTTAATTGGATCATATTTCTACATGTTTATTTCAATCAGTTTACTTATATAATAGTAATAATGTATTTATTATGCGAGAATGATAAAGTTTCAGGGAGTGTAATTAATGTGAAAAATATTTTTCGTTGAATATCATAAATTAATATTTTAATTTAATTATACTTTTATTAAAAAAACATATGGTATTTTGTACTCACAATCAGTTATATGTTGTTTCCCGGAGTCACCGATTCCAATTGTTTGATGGTTATAATTTATGATAATGGTCATAATGAATACAGTTCATCGATTACTAAGATTATATTCATGAGAATATCTTGAATATATTAAATAAAATATTTATCTTACTTTTTATTAACTCTACACATGTTTTATGTATATTAAATTATAATTCACCCAAATTATTTTTAATATCAAGCCGCGCAACGCGCGGGTCACGTACTAGTTACCAAATAAAGATAGTAACTTCCCTTAATTTGCGCATGGATAATAGTATAGGATTTGCACTAAGAAAAAAAAAATAAAAATAAAAATATGGTAAGTTTGTATACCTACTAATTAGGATGTTGTTATGTAATATCCCGAGATATTAATCAGTATAAATTACGTTTAATTCCGATATAGTAACGTTAGCGTTTATTATTTTCGGAATTAATTAAGTTCAGTCGGATTACCGAAATCTATTTTCGGCGTACCGTTTACGTCCGAAATAATTTTGGTAATTAAGTAGTATGTTTAATTTAACAATTAAACATCAGTTGAGTGATTAATTGGCATTAATCACACTTGAGCCCTAATCTTACCCTAAGTAGCCGTAAGTTAAGTTAGAATTTTTCCAAATTTTAGTACCCAAAACCGTAGCAATTTCTTAAGTGTGAGGAAAGGAAATTATCC